ACTGCTGCAGCTCTTTGCAAAGAGCCAGTGGTTCCCTGAGCAGTTACAGGCATGGAGGAACGGCCGTCCCTCCCGACCTCATGCCCTGGACGCCGGCGGCCAAGGTTGGCCTCGGAGCCAGCAGAGCTGTGGGGCTGCACGCCCCCGCCCCAGGCCTGTGTCCCAGGCCCGCCCACGGCCCAGGAGGCGCTCTGTGGGAACAGTTGCAGCTTGTTTTTGTTTTGGTTGTGATTTAAAGAATCTTTCCTCTTGGTGTTTAAAACACGAACCAAGGACCTGCACCTGGCCCTGGATGACACTGGAGTGTGGACCGCGTGCTCCTGAAGGTGCCGGCCGGGGCTTGGCTGCGTTGCGGGTGGACGGCCAGTGCCTCGTGAGATCTCTGGAAGACGGCTTTTCCAGCCAGCATGTACTGTGGCCTTCTGCACTGCGAACCTTTGCTGAACAGTTCGGTCCTGGAGAGACCCACCGTGGACGACTGCACGTGGAGAGGCCTGGCGTTCGACTGGCCAGCTGCAGGGTGCCCGAGCCCACCTCCGACAAGGCCCGGCCCTTCCGACTGGCCACAAACTGCAGCGGGGAAGACGGACAGTGCTCTGGAAGCTGAAGTCCAGCTGCTGGTCGTTCACTGGGTGAGACGCGTTTCCTGTGTTCCCAGGGCCCGAGTCACTCGTGGGGACATTGACTGCAGCGTGGAAGCCCCTCCCCTGCCTTGCCCCTCAGCACAGGACGGTCCCTGGCTATCTGCCTGGCCCAGGAGCTGGTGCGGCCTCCCCAGCCCAGGTAAGACATGAGGGCGGCCTCCGTGCCACAGGACAGCACGGCCTGTCTGGGAGGTGAGACAGTGACCCCGTGTCACCGGCTCGCTCCGTAGTGCTGAGGGGTGGGGCCTCATCACAGGGCTCTGGAGGTGCCCGTTCCCTCCAGCCTGACCGGGGTGGGGAAGGCTCGTCTGAGGCCAGGCATGCGGCCAGCCTTGTGGGACGGCACCGCACTCCCTAATTGCTGGCCTTGGCTGAGGCTGCTCTGGCCTCCACGTAGGCTGTCTCTCCGCACCGTCTTTGAGGAGTTGTTTTCCTGATGTAGAGACAGTGGGCTCTTCTGGCAGTAGGCGAGACACTGAGTCCTAGGGAGCGATGGCCATCTTCTGCTGGTTGGCCTTAAGGGCCTGCCCTGTGCCTCCCGGCCGCGGCTCCACGGGCAGCAAGCCACCCACCCCCGTCCAGAGTCACAGGGACACTGTCTAAAGGACAGTCCCCTGGGTCCCTGAAACATGCTTTCAGAGGGGCTCACTGTCCTGGACTTGGGGTGACTAGCCGGGGCCCTGTGTGCGTCTGTCCTGACCGGACGGCTGCAGGGCATTGCTGCTGTGTGTGTGGACTTTGTGGCATCTGTTGTCGGGAATTAGCGTTAGCCATCCTCTCCAGACGACCAATGACATGTTACCTTTGTAGCGACTGACGAGGTCCAGGTGAGTGAGAGCGTGCCGGCTCAGACAGTTGTGCCTTCGTCCCGTGCCGGTCCGTAACCCGCCTGTCTCTGGCTTTAGATCGACGCCTCTTCTGGCCTGGATGCCCGGGCTGTGCCCTCTGAGCTGGCTTGAGGCAGCAGCTGGGCAGATGTCTGCAGGGCCACAGCCTGTCCAGGATGCCCGAGGACCCTCCTCCTAGCACCCCGTGGCCAGCGTCGCTCCTGTGGGCCCGAGTGGCCTTGCCCAGAGCTCCGTGGGCATGGAGCTTCACCCTGGACATAAGGAGCCCACGAAGAGAACGTCCACGGAGACAGACCGCCCACTGGTGGTGCCTTCAAGCCTCGTGTGCCTGGACTCTGCAGCCAGGGTGTTGGTGCCCAGGGCCAGGTGGTTGTCCGGTGAGGCCTGCCTGGGCACGAGGACTCGCAAGTGTAGAAGTGGACAAGGACGTGGATGCAGAGCCATGTCAGGGGCAGCGTGTGGGGAGCGGGCCTGGGGTCCACAGGTGCATGGCAACGGCCACCTCACAGCCCAGATGGTGGCATCTCAGTGGGCAGGGGGTGGACACGCCTCCAGCTTTGAGGCCACCGGGGTCTCTGTGGCCGGGATCCCTGGCATGGCCGATTTGTGGAACTGAAATGGAGGAAGAACGTGAGTGGGAGCAGGCTGCTGCTGACGCCCAGGTACCTGAGCAGTCACTTTCTAGAAGGGTCTGAGGACAGTGTCCAGCCGGGATGTTCCCGCACACATGCGTCATTCCAGAGGCTGACACAGTCACCAGGAACTGCTGCTTCCAGACACGCCTGCTGTCACGCCCCGGGGCTCAGTTCAGAGCCGCTGCCAGAGCAGGCTGTGGACGTGCTGGGCGAGGGACCCAGGCAGGCGCTCCGCCTCTGCAGGGCAGCAGGTGGGCTGAGGAAGGGAGCGGGTTCTGGAAGGACCAGACGGACCATCTGGCGGAGCAGGCAGGTGTCTGGGGGCTCCTTCCAGAGAGGAAGCCCCTTCCCCACCACCAGACAGGCAGCCCCCGTCCTGCCCGCCCCAGGCACCAAGTCCCACGGCCACGAGGTGAGCTTCTGAAGGTGGAGGGAGGCGGGTTCTCGCTGAGGCTCATGTGTGGCGCTCCACTGGTGCCCGCGTGAGCTCAGACAGCCGGGCACCACACCGTCAGGGGCACTGGGTCCTGTGAAAGCCTCTTGGAACCTGAATGTCATTTCTAGAAAAGGAAGCTTTTCTCTCTTCTGTTGGTCACAATGGGATCTTTCAGGTCACAGGGACATGCCCGCCTCGGCACCGACGAGGACGTGCACTCGGTGGTCTCACTGGGCCATCCGGCATGCAGGTCTGCACTCAGGGCACTGTCACGGGCAGGCGAGGCGACACCAGAGGCTGCCTGGCTGCGTTCCTTCATTTCCAGGGTAGACAGAGGGCCACTGGGTGGGCACCTGGTGCCCGGAGACTTGCAAGGACACTGGTAGTTTTTCAGTGCTATTGCGTGAAAGGATTTGGCTGATATTTTTTAAAACAACTAAAAAATTTTGACAGGCTCCATGGGCCCTGCGAGAATAGTTAGTGGTGGGTGGTGAGATGGTGAGGGGTGGGAAGACATTCTCCGAGTAGATAGCTGTCTGACCCGGCCACGGGGGCGTGAGCAGTGGGGGCCCTGCTTCATAGGGGCCCAGGCCCGGGTCCTGGACCAGCCCGAACAGGTTGATGGGGTGGTACGCACCAGTAGTCCGAGCTAGCCAGGAGGCTCAAGGCCTGGCAAGACTCAGAAATACCGGTCTTGGGCTAGCTGGCGGCGGGGAGGTTCAGGCAGCTGAGCGCCTTGAGTCCTGGGTGCCACAGCCTGGCAAACGTGCTGGGAGCACGTGCACACAGGCTCAAAATCTGGATGGGAGAATGGAGGAGAAGGGGGTGTGGCACGACGGAACTCCTGGGGGCGATGTCTCGCTCCCTTTCTCTCCTGTCTTTCTCTTTGACCCGGTGTCACTGGGATAGCCGTGTTGGTGCAGTGCCGAGGCCAAGTGGAAAGTTTCAGGCCACACCTTGGTGCCCAGTGCACACGGTGTGCTGACGGTGCGGCCTGGGCTGGCAGAGGCTGGTGGTGGGACCAGGGAGAACCTGCTGGGGGTCTTTCTCTTTCTGTCTCTTCTCCTGGAAGAAATAAACGAAAATAAAATTTATTTATTTAAATAATTATTTTATTTAACTTTATTTATTTGTTTATTTTTAACTTGACCAGAGGAGGACAGAGAGAGAGAGAAAGTGAGAAAGAAAACCACCAGGTTCAGGACTCGAACTGCAGTCGGCCATGTGGGAGGCTAGCGCCTTAACCACCATGCCACTTGCCAGCTCCGAAAATGTATTTATTTTTTAAAGAATGATTTTTAACTTTACTTATTGTTTAATTTGACCAGAGACACACACACAGAGAGAGAGAGAGAGAGAGAGAGAGAGAGAGGAGAGGAGAGGAGAGGAGAGGAGAGGGAGGAAAGTGAGAAAGCAACCTGCCAGGTCTGGGACTCAAACTATGATTGGCCATGTAGAAGTTAACGCCTTTAATCACCATGCCACCTACTGGCCTCTAAAATTTATTTCTTTTCTTTTCTTTATTTCTTTTTAGAGAGAGGTGTTTGTTTGTTTTTGGTATAGGGTGTGTGTGTTCACCAGGAGACAGAGAAATCGCCTGTAGGGGAGACAGCCACAATCCTTCCTCCCTTCTCTTCTCAGGATTTTGGGCACACGCACACACACCCAGTGCGAGTTTTATGTTTTTTTTAAAGAATTATTTAATTTTATTTATTTATTAATTTATTTTAATGTGACCAGAGAGACACATAGCAAGAGAGGAGAGGGGAGAATGAGAAAGCAGGTCTCCAGCTCTGGGACTCAAACTGTGGTCAGCCATGTGGGCGTGGCCATCACCTTAACACCACACCACCTGCCGGCCCCAATCCAGTGTGAGTTTTAAGCCTCTGTGTCTAGGACTGGAACCATGGTCAACTGCACGGAGTCCAGCGATGTGAGCGTTAGACCATGTGCGGATCCCCTAAAAATTTTTTTTTTTTGAGAGGTTTTTGCTATAGGGTGCATGCACTCGCCAGACAGACAGAGACAGAGAGACAGAAAGCGAGAAATCACCCCCCACGGGGGATGGTCACGCCGCAATCCCTTCTCCTCCATTCTCCTCTCGGGATCTTGGGCATGCACGCACACGTGCCCAGCGTGAGTTTAAGCCACCGGGTCTGGGATGCGAACCGCGGTCGACTACGTGGGAGTCCAGTGACATAGCCATTACGGTAACTGCTGGTCCCCTAACATTTATTTTTAAAAGATTAAAAAAGAAAGAAAGAAAGAAAGAAACTCTCCTTCTTCCTATTTCATAAAAGAATAGCTATCTGGTTTTATTCTTACATCTAATACTCATCCCTCAAACTGTACAGCTGTCCAACAGATCAAACTCTGAGCAAATTAATTTATTTTCTCATTGAAATATTGTGGCTCAGAGTTTTTACTTCATCAATATGTAAGAGTAATCCTTGAAATTAGGATTTCAGGAATAAGATGCCAGCCCTTCTTTAGGCCTGTTGATATACTCATGGAGTGCAGCAGTTGCTCCATGTCCCCAGGTTCACCCTGGTTTTCTGGCACGTTTTCACCTCCGTGGTAGGTGGTCCCACTCAGGTGTTGGCACAGCAGAGGCTGCGTGCACACGTGTGTGTGTGTGAACTAGGACTTCTACTCACTTGAAGACCACTTGGAAAATTTAGACTACACTTAAAACATATGAGATGCAGTCTTATCTTGATCACTGGCAGTTTGGCAGGTGCTAAGGAAAAAGCATTGATTTATTTTTATTATTATTTTTAAGGGTTTTGTCATAGGGCACATGTACTCGCCAGAGACAGAAAAATGGAGGGAAAGTGAGCAATCACTCTCCCCGGGGGGGAGATGGCCGTGCCACAGTCCCTGTTTCTCCACTCTCCTCTCAGGGTTTTGGGCGCACACGCACACGCGCCCAGTGTGATTTTCAAGGTGCTAGGTCCAGGACTTGAACTGTGGTTGGCCATGTGGGAGTCCAGTGCCTTCCTGTGTCACCTGCTGGACTCAGCATTATTTTATTATTCTTTTGAGAGGTTTTCGCTATAGGGCACATGTGCTCGCCAGAGAGACAGAGAGAGACAGAGACACAGAAAGCGAGAAATCACCCTCCAGGGGGAATAGCCATGTCACAATCCCTTCTCCGTTCTCTTCTTGGGAGCTTAGGCATGCACGCATGCACACGCACCTGGCATGAGTGTAAGCCACCGAGTCTGAGACTTGAACTGCAGTCGACTACATGGGAGTCCAGCGACATAGCCATTATGCCAACTGCCAGTCCTGCATTAATTTATTTTTAAAGAAAACTTTTTTTTGGGGGGGGGAGAGGTTTTCGCTATAGGGCGCGTGTTCTCGCCAGACAGAGAGAGACATAGAGACAGAAAGCGAGAAATCACCCCCCAGAGGGGATAGTCACGCTGCAGTCCCTTCTCCTCCATTCTCCTCTCGGGATCTTGGGCACGCACGCACACGTGCCCAGCATGAGTTTTAAGCTACTGGGTCCGGGACGCGAACCGCGGTCAACTACGTGAGAATCCAGCGACACAGCCATTACGCTAACTGCTGGTTCCCTTAAAGAAAACTTTTTGTTTAAAAATTTTTGTTCTTC